GAAAGAAATCAACTGATGAAAGATGAAATAAAGGCTTGGTTTTATGCCTTCTGAGATTTATTTTGAAAGCCTGCTACTGCACGGCTGAGTTCCTTTAATCTTGTGCTCATTGTTACTGTTACTGTGTACTTTAATAATGTACAGTTTCTTAGCTGCTGTTACTTGAGGATTTTTTTAATGAGATTTTTTCCTATCTTTCTTACCCTCTTCTTTTTCTCTACAAAGTCGGTGCAAATGATAAGGGACAGGAGATAACATTTTGAGAACATTTAGAAACATCTGAAACAATTGCTCTATTTCTGTGCACAATATAGCCATTTTAAGTTGGAATGAAATGCTGTGCTGATCGCATTTAGCATCTTGTGTAATGCAGGCTATAATTTTTTCCATTAGTATGTAAAAATTCTTGAAAAAGATGGTCTGGTTATGATTTCCGGGCATGAAATGACAGGTAATTTCTGGTGTATCTTTGTCGCTAATAAAAATGGGCCTTATAACTGTTTAAAAGCTGCCTGACTTCATTTTACCACCAGAAGTTTTTGCTATATATTCTTCTGCTAGGCAGAAGAGTCAGTCAGCTATTTTTTTCCATTTGGATACTTCTGGTGTGTACTTTTACTGCTCCTCTGAACTTGGAGGGGGGGTTTTCTCTTTAGATTGCTTATGTCTGAGCTATAAATCACCCACTTTCAAATAGTATTGGTTACTTATTCCTAACAATATAGCAGTTGAAGGTTGGAGTTTGCAATCTTAAATTATCTGTATTTACTTTAGACTTTATTACAATAGACTTTAAATTAATAGAGTTCCAGCATTGATGTAGTGAAGCTGCTGTGTGTAAACTGATGTAATGCTGTTATGGATGTACTACATTTGGTAGAAATAGATGAGTAGAGTGTAACTCTGAAAAATACTAATATTACCTGTGTATAAATTTGACTTTGAATGGAAAAAGCTGTATAAAAACAAGCAAGAGCACCTTCTCTTTCAGGATACAAAAGGCATAATCTCCTGTTCAGTAATACCTAAGGTGTCAAATATTATTATATCACTTGGAACAGACAGACTTCTCAAAGTAAGGATTATGGTATTTGAAAATCAGACAGGTGGAGCTATCTACCAGCAGAGCATGAAACTAATTTCTGTATTACTTCAGCCATCCTATTTTTTTTTTTTTACAGTAGCTTGTGTTCCATAGAAGATTGGCATTTTCTGTGATACCTGTGAGGAATGAGTCAATAAGATGTTTTTATGGCATTCTGTGATGTGGTTTAAAGCAAAGCAAAACAAAAAGCACCACCTCCCTCATCCCCAGACAAGTCAAACAAACCATCAAAAACTCGTGGAAACGAAGCCAATTGCACTGCTTTAGGCTGTCCTCAAATTAATCAGCTTGTCTGTGGGGAAAAAAATAATGATAGGTGCGTGTGAACTACGATGAATGGGCTGAGTGTTGACTCAGTGTAAGGAGACATGAATGTTTTCATCTGTGCAATTTGAAAGCTGTATTCTGTGCCACGTGAAGCTGCATGTAACCACAGATCTCCTTCTTAATCAAATCCTTTAGCATTGCTAAGGCTACAGAAGAAACAGTACTGTTGGAAGTGCTCAGATCTCTGCCAAGACTTGGGTTTTCAGAAAGAAAGTCAAGATTTGTTTTTGTAACCTGAGCAAGATTTGTGCTCAGGTTAGAAGCCAATTGGACTGTAGTGGTTGGTGCCTTATGAACTGGATGAACAATAATAGCATCACACCACAGTTTTGTTAGTAAACCTTTCTTCTCAATCTCAGCAGTGTGATCAGTTACTTTCAAGATTGCTCTTACTGGCTCTTGATGCTGCAGACAGCAAGAACAGTTTGTTTTAAAATTCTCGTCAATACAAATCACTCAGGTTTTGAGAGGCCCTTGACAGCTCTAGGCTAATGAAAATTGTTTGCTGTCTTGAAAAGGCACATGTTACTGGGACTTTTGGTTGTTCTTTTAAAAAAAAATCAAACAGAAAAACTAAAAGCCAACAGACAATTAAAATCTTCCTTTCGTATAGCAGTGGAGAGCAGTGTTCAGTATGATTCTTCAAATATCACAGCACCAAAATTACTGAACAATCACGTAGTTGATTAGTAAACCTCACCAGGAGTAATGTGAGGAACCTTTGGGCAGTAGTGCCAAGAAGTGAAATGTTTGTGCCACATCAGTGAGTTCTGATGGTAGCATTGCTGATTTTTTTTTTTTTTTTTTGTCATTTCCATAATTATTTGTTGTGCTATTGTGTGGCCTTCTGAAAGCTTCACCCTCTAGAAGCAAGTAATTTATATAAAAATTTAGGTTTCCCATTTAAAATTAGAAGTCTCTGTGGGTGCAGGGAAAGGCAGGAGAAGTTATTTCAGGATATCTCAAAAGCTCAAAATTGAAAAGTATCCTCTTCCTGAAATACGGGTATTCAAACAGCTTTACACACTCTGTCCTTAAAGATACTGGCTCTACTCCACAAGTTTAAAATGGCAGAAATTGGAAGTACAGGGATGATCTTCAGATCATTGTGTTCTCTGTAATTCTGCTTCCACTTAAAGTTCTCCCTTCTTTTTCCCTCATTACTTCCACTTACCTTCCTTTCCCCAATTAAAGTCCTTAACAATGTTCTACTTTCATAGTGAGGTTGTTTCTCAGTCTCCTTTTTTTCAGTTCTGAAGTTGTTGCCCTACAGTGTGCCTGTTTTGAATATTGCTTTCTCACTCTAAAGGCATTGATTCTCATAGACTATTTTTTTGCAAAGTGGTTTGTTTTCTCCTTGATATCCTTAGCCTGAAATCTTTTGCCAGTGAACATCCATTTGATTTATCATTAAATAGTTGAAGATACGTATCCATATATAATAGAGAAAGGAGAAGTATTTTCATTTTAAACAGCCAATGTAGAAACTCGTTATGCTGATCAGATCGCTTGAATTTCTTCTTTGTTTCAGTTTTCATTCGTAGTGATGTGTGTGGGCAGTCAGCAATGAAAGATGAAGGGTCAGATGCTCTCACATTCAGTAGCTGTCAGCTAGCTGTTGTGGATCAGTCCCTGGCACAGGCGTAGGTGGCCATAGAGAAGCAGTGTGTTTGTGAGGAGTGCACTGCTTGTTGAGCTTTTTCTGTGGCTCATACTAACCACTGGAGGGGAGGGTGTTGTTGCTAAGTTCTTCTGTACCCATTAGTCTTGTCTGTTATGATATCTTCAGAAGCCCAGACGGAAAAGAAATACAAGTGGGAAGCGTTGTCCTATCTTTGTTGCTCTGAATCTTTTGCGGTGGTGTTCATGGGGCAGATCTGGAGGATTTTCATTTGTGCTTGCTCATCTTTTTATTTACTATCTAGCTTTTTTTCCCTTCCTTTCTTTCCAGCCTGCACCTGTTATTTTTTGTTTCCTGAATACAACCTTCTTATTAAATAATTGTCAGAGATACCAAATGAGAGCTTATAGAGCAAAAAAGTGCATTTTCAACAGTGTTTAATGTTGCAGTGACAAGGTAGCTTGCATATTTCTAAACTGCTGCTTAGAAATTATGAAAAGAAAAAGCTAAAAACATGGTTTTAATTCCCTGCTAGTTCTGAAGAAATTCTTCTCCCCTAGCACATACTTTTTGCATAATATAAGTGTCAGTGTTATCTAAGATGCTGGCACTTCATTGTCTCTCCCGATATTTGTTTTATGTAGTTTTCTATTAGAAGTGAAAATAAATTTAAGTTCCTTTCATCTTTTGATAAAATTGCCCTTAAAATATGTACTTTGTGGCATCCAAATACTGTGCCTTGACATAAATATCATGCAGCAACATGTCCCTGCTCTCAGAAGATTAATTGACATTTCAGAATGCTGAATGTCTGCGTAAACGTGACCACAGTCAAATACACATTACATTCATATTTCAAGAAAGCATATAGGCAGGCCATTTTGAATTTTAGGCACCATATTATCTGTTAATCAAAACCTGTTCTCCTGCAACTGTTTTTAAAACAGAAATAAAAATGGCTGTGGGAAGCAAAGTGATGGTAAAGTAAGCAGTAACAGAAAGGGAGTTACGGCTGCTGTTCAGCTGTGAACTCAGACCACTGTGCTGCCTTTCATTTTCTGTCCTGTCTTTCGTCTAGAGATTACTGTCACTGCAGGAGAACAGGGCACGTACTGAATATTGAGCTGGAAAGGGGTTAACAAAAGTGGCTGTCTTAGGAACAATAAAAGTGAGCTGCAGTATTTACGAGCAGAAAGGAGAGAGTAGACTAAAAAACTTGTATGTCGATTAACTTGCCAGGTGGTAAGACTTTGTATTTCTACTTTTGAGGATTCAAGAAGGCTAGGTAGATTATTTCCTGTTAGGCTTGTAGTTCTGTTCATATATGCTTTGTGTGTGCTGTAACTCAGTAATTTGTGAGTGTCACTTTCATTTAAAGATTAAATAGTATTTTGGAATGTGTTTTTGAGGAGCTTTCTATTCCAGTGCTAATGTGTACTTACTCAACTTAGCTTTTTGGTAGAAACATATTAAGAAGCAGCCCAGAAATAATTTTTTTGTTGTAAACTTCCATATGTGGTAGGACATGCAGTAGATCTGTTGGTTAAAAGATTACCATTTTTAGATGGCTTACAAGTTACTGGGAATTTATTAATTTTCTGTAAGATAAAAGAAAATATGAAACTGAATGTTCTACTTAGATCAACTTTGCAAGGAAGAAGAATGCATCTTAGTTTGGGTACTTCATTTTGTTTTATGGATTTTTTTAGTTCCAGCACATCTGAGGTATTTGAAGTTACTTTTATTTGTGAAGGCCACAGGCAGTTTTAACTGTAAGTTTGGACTCCACTGCTTGGAGTCCTGGAGAATTTGTAGGATGTGTATTCTGCAAGAGTGCTTAATACTTGTCGAGCATGACTTTCACTGACAAACCATTGAATAATGCTGTAAGTTGACCTCCCAGTGCTTCTGTACTGTATGATTCTAATCTACGTTTGTGTTTTATAGCTTGAAACAGTTGGTTGGCAGCTTAATCTTCAAATGTCTGCATCCACGCAAGCGAAGCTGAAATCTCCTCGAGCTGTGCTGGAGCTGGGTGTGAGCAATGAAGACTCAAAGGTAGGACAAATGCGTTTGACAAAGTTGGAATGAACTGTGATGACGACTTTATGTTAGAAGTTTTGAGGCATCAGTTGGCTCTCTTGTTAATAATTAGTCTCTCTTCAGTGTTCTCATATTTTGTGAAATAACACTCTTTAATGATTAAGCATTTGGAATTGTGAAGTGCTGATGTAACAGCATATAGATTAAGTAGATTGTGGGGCTTACAGCTGTGTTAGCAACTGTGGGCTGTGGCATCATGGAAAAATGCTATTAAATATGGCTATACGGGATCTGTAAAATATATTATTAGATACCTAGATTCAACTTGTGATTGATACTCCTTGAAATTACTGCTCAGCTTCTTGCTGTACTGTACCATGACTAGTCAGTTAAGATTCCAGTTGTCACTCCTAGCCTTTTTTTGCTAATAATGTATTTATATGAATGATGACGGAGGTAAAAGCCACAGAAAGCCATGTTTGGAGATTGTAAAGTAAAGCCTTATATTCAGAATTTTTAGTGATTGATGGTGTTTCAGTGTCAAAAACAACTAGTGAAGTTTTATTTATAAAGCTGTGTCATATATTACTTAGCACATAAACATTTATTTATCTTATCTTGCTAAGATTGGAGCCTTCTGTGGTGTCTCTCAGACTGTTAAGCAATGGAACAGTCAGTACAAAAGAGAAGAATCAGAAATTCAGCTTTTGTGTTGCATTTAAATTGAGGTAATTTTACTAATGCCAGTGGAATTCCTGATGTGTAGTAGAATACAAGAGAATACACTGCTTGTAGTTGTGCTTTTTGTCAGGGCTTTCAGTAGAGTTCACTGCAGTCAATTTGTTTGAGAAGTACATCCAGGAACCAAACAATATTTTATGCCCAGGCTGCTCTGAGGAGCGCTGCATAGAGGTTCCAGTCTGTGACTGTAATTATAACAACATGAGAAAGATGTGGCTTCCATTCCAAGATGTGGCAGAGATAGTTCACTTATTTCCTTTATGAACAGAATTTGGCAAGTGGATTTTTTAATTTGATTTTGTGAGTGTAGCTATTTACTTATGTCAGAATTAATTTTCAATGATTACAAGCCTAAAGTAGTCTTGTACCTGGCTTCTAGACAGAACAGTGCAACATGAAGAGCATCTTGTTGATGAAGTATGTTTCAACACTGAAATTCTAGTGTATCTGTTACGAAGGTAACTGTTGATTTGTTTTGGGTGATTGATGACATTCAGGAAGAGAGCAAGTTTAAAATTGGATAATATGTACCCATAAGCAGAAGAGTTGAAGGTGATTGATTTTTGTGCAGTGTTTGGTATCACTGTGATGCTTTTGTGCATGGAGCATTAAATTATCTGGAAATCTAGGTACTTATTTTCATTTTTCTCCCTAAACTTATGTATGTGCCTTTTGAACAAAAAATTTGCATGAGCTTAGTGTACAGGTTCATAATGATTGTCTTCATTTTGCACAAACCTTTTGCATAAAATTACTCATGGTTAGAATAATGTCATTTTTTTTTTTTTTTTTTTTTTTCAAATGTAAAGGAAAACGATGTTGTAGAAGTGCTTTTGTGGGGTTGGCTCATTAGGGGGCAGTACTGCTCTTTGTCACAGATTTCCAGCTCTGAATGTTTTCGGATAATACTCACAATCAGTTCTGAAGGTAGTGGCTGTGGAAGGCACTAAGGGTTGACGTTTCTGATCTATGTATAATAGTAGAAGTTTGTCCTGTCAACTTACGTAATTAGAACCTGTTTAAAAAAAAACTGAGCAAAGTAAATGAAATTTGCCACTATTTCTACTAATTGAAAGTAATTTATACTAATGTGTTAATGTTTACTGCAAGTAACTACAGTTAAAGACCATTTAAACTATTTTTTCTCAGAACCTGACATTTGAAATAGGTGTTAAATTATTTTTCCAGTAGTGTTGATCAGAAAATGTGTGGATATACTGATGATATTTGAGCTTCATGTAACGAGTCAGAGGATCCAGTACATGAGATGGGTATCTCATGTATACAGAAATACAGAAGAGTTACAGGTATTATAATTTCGGAATTCATAATAAAATTGGGCTTTGTTTCTTTCAGGTGATTTAAGCTGCTGGTTACATTTGCATTGCCCAGTAAATACTCTTGCTTGTGGTTAGTGGTAATTGCCATAGATCATGTGATCTTTTCTGAAGACATTCTTGATTGTAAAAATTTGCTGTTTGTTTGTGCTTGGATGTTGAATTCCTTTTCTTCTGGATCTAATGTACATTTTACATAGGTGATGCAGAGCTTGCCATCGTAAGGGTCTTTAAGCAGTGGAATGAGAGGCTGCATAGCTGGAGTTGCGGGATGATGACAGTCTGATCCAGGCGTGCATCCAGCCCTGCTGCAGGGGGAGTTGGATCAGGGGAGCTGCCAAACCCTGCGTCCCAAACCAAGTTGTTCTGTGATTATAAACTGCTGCACAGCTTGGTTGTTGATGAAATCATAGAATGGCCTGGGTTGAAAAGTGCCACAGTGCTCATCCAGTTTCAACCCCCTTTTATGTGCAGGGTCACCAACCACCAGAGACCAGGCTGCCCAGAAATTTGGCATGAGAGGAGAAAAAAAGCAAGCTGTGATTAAAAATGCAATTAACATCGCTTAACTGCAATGATTCAGAATTTATAATGTTTAATAGCATTTCTAAATCTGACAGAATGGAAACAGGCTAGTATGATAGGGAAGTTGCTTTTGTTTCCATTCTTATATTTAAGCAAATGAAGAGAACGTTTAGAAAATAGCCAGTTGCAAACTGATGTATTTGCTTTTGGATGTGTATGATGGTTCTCTTTGACTGTGTAATTAGGTTTCAAGTTTGCTGTTGAGCTGCAGCACTAGCGGGATCATTTTTTGGCTGTAAGATGAAGTAGCCAGTAGAGGGCGTAGAAATTAATCTTGGTAACGTGTACCAATTATGATGTAGATTTGCAAACAAAGACTGATCCAGAAAAGTAAGTGCTGTGTAGATTAGCATCTCTGTTTGTCCGAAGGGTTTAATAATGATCTGTGTAGGCACACAGTTGTATGTTCTTTCCCACTGTTCATACAGCAGTTCCCTTGGCCATCTAGGAAAAGAGTTTGCTGAGCAGCTAGAGCAATTCCCCACAGCCACAGAAGCCGTATGCAAAAACTGTGCTAGAGCTTGTACGAAAGGTCTGTGGGCTTCAGAAAAGTCACGTTATCTGTGCAGAATAACTTCCCAGAGAAATGTGACAAGTAAGAGAGTGTTCTGCTGTACTTGTTCATTAGGAATATGAAGTAAGATACTTTATCATGTAAGATATTCACTATTGTGCATTTTTACAAATGATGTATAGCTTGCATTTATGCTTGAAAGTTGCTAGGATAAATTAACTATTGTTGCCTAATGTTGTCTCTCAGGTCTTTTTTGTAAACTGGCTTCATTAAATACTCAAATTTAATCACAGTTTTTCCTATGGAAAGGTATTGCTCTTCTTTTTTCCCTCTTCTTTATTTTTGTGTACAGTTTCCTTTTTAACCATTAAGGACTTCCTGGTAGCCTGTCTTTGAGGGAGTTATTTTTCCTTTGAGTGGGAATGCTATGAATAGATTCCTTCTGAGAGTTCATTACTGTTTATTGTATTTCTTCTTTATTCTGACATCTGAAGAATGTTGTGATGTTTTGTGTGCCAGTGCAAGACAAAAATTATAAAAGTGCTGCTTTATTAAATCTGCCAATGCAATACTACTGACACAAGGCACATGATATTAAAATATTACTGGAATCATTTGAATTTATTTCATTTTAATTTCTCTTGAATCTCTGGATGCTCTAAAAGGAGAGAATGACTGTAGAAATCTTTGAAACTGTTTCTTTTTCCTTTGCAACTGTTTATTGAAAATCAAAATGAGGTTTGCAGTTGAAACTGAAATTATAACAGATATTTGTTCAACAGAGGATATGGAAGTCTGGACATCTTAAATTATTTTTTTACTTTCTGAAGTGAGGGGCCCCGACTTTCTCTTCTTCTATCCCCTTGTAATTTTAACAGACTTTCTGTGTGGTCAGGACTGTGAACAACTCTGGGCCTTAGATGTATAGCTCTGTTGACTTCAGTAAGTGTGCTGCTTATCTTTCTAAGCTTGTCATTGTGAGTGTTTTCCTCATCTTTAACAGCAGAGCAGAGTCAATGAGAAGCGAAGCTTTTCTTCCAGTTGAGCTGGGTCTATCCATCAGCCCAGGCAGCAGATTCAGTGCAGCCTGTATAGCATACAGGCAGGACCTGCACTTTTGATGGATGCTTAAGGAAGCACGATGGTGCTTCCACTTCCCCCTCAATTTAACCCTCATCATTCTGACAGGGAGCAGTGTTGGTAGAGTGGCACATTCCCACTCGACAGGCAGGAGGAGCAGCACTGGGCATCTGTACATTGATGCATTCCCAGCATTTGTCCTTCTCAGGCCTCTGCTTTCAGTATGAATGCATTTAGATAATCATTTTTTTTCTGCGAAATAGAGAAGTAATTTGTCAAGTCTTGGGGGGGAAAAAAAAGGGCACGGTGCAATTAAAAGACTCGGTGGTGTTGGAGGCACTATGATGAATTGCAAACACTAAGTTGTAACTTGCTTCTTGTGTTCATCAGCCGTTTTCTGTTCTGATTAAGGTATTACCCCTTTCTTTCTCAGCAAACAAGGAAGCTTGCATGTACATACTTGACTTGAATTCAGTGTTCACGTAATGCAGATTTGCAAGTCTCTAGCAATTGCCAAAAAAATAAGTAGGACAGGTTACTGTCTGAATGCAAAAACGTTTGAGAGTGAGATTCGAGAGTTTTTTTTTTCATTCCAGTTGAGATAAGTGAAGGCCTAGATGGCTTCAGATAGCATGGTCCTGGTCACAGTCTTTCTGAACTTCCATATACAAGTGAGATTGCTGCTTTTGGCAAGGAAGATTATGAAACCAATTTCATTCTGAGAACTAAAATCTAATGAATGCTCCTGCTGATAAGAA